GCTGTGGGTAACGGGCACAGCTTGGGGGGGTGGGCAGGATGCTGTGAGCATAATGGCCTGGGGGCTGTGGGGACCACAGGGCAAGGTAATACCCGCTGGGTCCTGCAAGGAAGCATCCTGGAGGGGTGCTCCTGGGTGGGTTTTGGAAGGGGCTGAGGCCAGCTGGGTCCCTCTCTGCGTGTGGGGCTGGGGGTGTTGGGCACCCACCCATGTGCTTGCCCCCCACCCTGGGCAGCGGAGCAAGCACATGTCCCATGGCAGCATCTCCAGCCAATACTGGAGCCGGCACCCATGGGTGCTGGGTCTCAGCCCCAACCCCAGCGATTCAGGGGCGGGGCGGGGGGGGCCGGGGGCCAAGCTTTTTGGAGGCTGCGGCTGATGGCGCTCGCTCCCATCCCCACTCCCTAGGCACCCACTACATCCGGGGGGTGAACAACACCCGCCAGCCCTGGCACAGCTCTGAGGGTCGCAAGCAGTACAGCCTGAAGCCTGCCAACCCCACGGAGGAAGGCTTGGCCAGCCTGCACAGCGTCCTCTTCCGCAAGCAGCCCTTCCTGTGGCGGGCAGCCCTGCTCTACTACACCATCGAGCGGGCCAGCCGCCTCTCCTTCTCCGCCCTCTTCCAGGACCTGGAGCAGTATGTCCAGGATGCCGGTGTCCGGTGGGAATACTGCGTGCGGGCAAAGCGGGGCCAGACTGACACCTCACAGCCAGGTACTGCTCAGGGGGTGAAAACTCTTCAGGTTTTGGAAGGGATTATTTTTTTTTTTTAAAAACAGAGGTAGACGGACATGTTTTGCTGCTGGGTGGGTTGAGCATCACTGCTCCTGTGGCCACGGCAGCCTTTGAAATGGTGGCTCTGCCTGTCCCCACATCCCTCCCCATCCCCAGCATTGCTCTCTTATGGGTTTGCACTTTATGGCAGTGATTTTTTACATGCAGTCCCAGCACTTCGGCTGCTTGGGGCGAGGCGGGGATGGATGGGGTACCCTGGGGAGCCCCATAAGGTGGTTGTGGTCTGATGGGAGCAACTTGCACAAGCTCACGGGGAAGCAGCAGCGAAAGGAGAGGAAAAAAAGGAGCATTCTGGGGATGCACTTAGATTCTTGCAGTGGTTTACCATTAAAAAGAAAATCCACTGGGAGGAAAGGTGAATGCATTCCAGTGAGAGGTTTGGGGCTCTCACTGCATCCGGCTGCCTCCACGGTCCCTGGCGCTGCTCCCTGATGCTTATCCTTTGGGACCTGGCTATGGCACCAGCAATGCCCGAGCCCTGGCACGCTCGTGTCACCCTGGTCCAGTGCCATCACTCCGGTTATTGTGGTTGGCAGAAGTTCAGGCAAGCAGAGGGCAGTGGGGAAGCCAGGCTTTCGCTCCCCGGCCTCTCCCGCTCTTCCAGGCTGTTTCAGTAAAGACCAGGTCTACCTGGATGGGATTCTCCGCATCCTGCGCCATAGGCAGACCATCGACTTCCCACTGCTGGCTGCACTTGGAAAGGTAACAGCCGGGAGCGGGCGGGGGGCACGGGGAGCTAATCACAGAGTACCCATCCCATCCCAAAGCTCATATGGACTTCCCAAAAACAAGCCCTTGGCTGGAATCCCTTCAGCTCTTTGCCTGTCCCTGCACGTATGGGTTTCGGTGGAGCAGGGAAAGGCTGTGCTGGGTAGGATGCAAAGAAGGACAGGACAATCCATACTCCTCCATGGGAGATCTTTGGGGGAAGCTTAACCCAGGGGGTTAAATTCTGCCAGCCCCTCTGCCTTGGTCACAGGCTGGCCCTGCTGCCACCTGTCCCCACAGTGACAGAAAATTATCAAAACCACAAATCCCTGCAAATCCCCCTCCAGGTGGCTTTACCAATGCTTCCCTGCAGGCAGGAAAGGTGTTGGGGCAGTGAGGGGGGTGGGCTGCAGGTGGGGGCCAGACCTCCTCCTTGGATGGCGGGGACTGACCCTTCTTCCCATCAGGTCTCCTACGAAGATGTGAATCGGCTGAAGAAATTTGGGGTCCTGGAGAAGGCCCGCATCCCCCATTTCATGCAGGACCTGGAGCGGTACATGAAACAGCTGGACCACATTGTCACCACCAATGGCCTGAACGAGGAGGAGCTGGAGCAGCTGCTGCCCGACTGAGGGGCATTCCCCCCACCCTGCAAACCAGTGTTCCAAGGGTGTAACTGGTGCCATTTATTGGATATTTATTGGGGCTGGAGCCTGGAGGAGAGGGCAGAGCCTGGGCCTCCTCCCCTGCGCCTGGGCGGCTGCTGTGCATGTACTGGCTGTGTAGGGTAGCGCGGCCAAGAGGGCCGGTGTGGTTAGTGTTGATGTGTGTCCCCCCCACTGTCCCCTGTGCATTTTTGGGGATGGCTGCGTGGCTTTGGGGAGCTGGAGAAGAGGGTTCAGAGGGAGTGAGGGCAGAGCTGGGGCGATGCACTGGTTCCCCAGAGGTGCAGGAGGCTGTGCTGGGGTTGTTGCAATGGGGGGATGCCCTTAGGGTACCAGGGGGTGTTCCCAGCAGAGTGGGGGCACCTACTCGGGGCCAGCAGATGGGGCTGGGGGCTCTGGGCTGTGCCTGGCAGCCCTGGCAGGGAATAATCCCCCTGTGTATGCATTTTCCACCCCCTACCCCTTCCCTCATATCCCCCACCAGCAGCAGAAAGGACTTTAATCCCCCAACTACCCCTCTCTGCTCTCCCCCCTCCTCATAGATATTTGCCCACAATTAACCATTGCTCTGCACCCCAACTACAGCTACTCTGCCTGGCTCTGAGGCACAGGAGAACTCAAGGTGGGGGTTGGGCTTGATGTAAGGAGAAAGTGTGTAATAAAAATGATGTAATGGAAACAACATGTGGGCAAAAGGTTGTGGATAGCATCAACAGCCAGGCTGGTACCACTGTGAATGCTGTGTGTCTCGCTTGCGCAGGCAAAGCTGCATGGCTCTGAGTTGGTGTGTCAGGAGCAGGATGGGGTCACCGGAGTGTGTAAAACAACATACTGGGCAGGGACAACATTAATAAATCAAAGTAGGTAAAAGCAGAAGCTGCCCTGAGCTATTCCTGGTCTCTATAACACAGTTGCAGCATTCCTCCAGCTGTGCCATGCCTAGGAGAGCCCTTTTTAAAAAAACAAACAAACAAACAAAAAACTAAAAAACAAAACACAATCCCCACAGACTTGGTTTTATATTCTTGTCGCCTTTCATGCCACTGAGCTCTCCCCCAAAGGTAGCACAGGCCAACTGGTGGCTCCAGAGAGCTCAGGCTCAATCCCAAAAGCTCCAAGGCTGGCTGCAAGCCCAGTTCACAGCACCCCCAGCTGCCCATGCTCCAGGTCTCACAGGGCAGCTGCAGCCCCTTTGCAGCATGTAGATGCTCCAGCAGGCAGGGCAGCACAGAGCAAGCTTGGGAATGGATAAGACCACTTGTCTTCGGGGATTTTACTTCCCTCTGGGCCAGGTCTCCAAGAACACGCTGGTGTTTTTAACAGCTCTGCTCTGTGAGCACCCCTGTGTGAAGACACTGCCAGCATGGTCAATTAGACTCTGCTCTTTAATATACTACTTCCTCCAACGTTGCAATCCCCAACCTTGAACATGATACAGCACTGCTTTAAAAAGGTATTTACACACATCCCAGCATCACCCCCCTTGTCATGCCAATGAGCAAGGCCTCGACTGGCGCCAAGAACCAACCAAGGGAAGTCTCTTGCGGCCTTTCTAGTGGAATGGCAGCAATGACAGAGGGTAACATAGCTACTGCGGTGGTTTCAGTCGCATCTCTGATGAAATAACAGCATGGAGATGAGAGACGGCATTAATCTATCTCCCCGGCCAGGGCTAGAAGCGCTTCATCTGGCGGCGTTCTTGTCGGCGTTGCTTCTTCTCGTTTGGTTCCTGACTGGCAGGCGAAGAGTCAGCTGTAAACCAGGGCCCCAGGATGTTCACCCACAGGAGGTAGAGAGCGCGCCCCGGAGCCTGCAAAACACGTGTGGCACAAACTCAGTCACTTTGGGGACAGCTCTGGCAGGGGTGGTGCAATGGTCTGGAGGGCTGGTCCTACCAAGGAAGCCTAAGGAGCTGGAATATGTTTACAGGCTGGATCAGGGGCATCACAGGATGCACGGAAATCAAAGGCAGTGGCAGGTGTCCAAAATAAATGGCCTGATTTTGTATGGTTTAGGAACTTGCATCTGTATACAGCACTTCGGCTTCATATATGGAAATCTCAGCATCAGGTCTGAATTACCCAGAAAGATCCAACTGCCCAGATGTTCTGCCTCTCCCTCCTTCAGAAAACACACCCACATTTCTCTAAATGAAAACAAATGTGATCTGAATGATCTCCGGGGGATAGTCAAGAGTTCAGGCTGCCCTCTGCCAGGCCAGCTAGAAAGGAACTTGTGAGTAAGGACTGAAACGAGCTAACTTTCTATGCTCCCAAGATTGCCTTATATACCTTTGTGGGATATACTCAAAGCAACTGTGGAATTTTTTTAACTGGAGACTTTTTGTCCTTCTGCAAAAGCAGTTTTAGCTGGAGACACATGACAATTGTCTCTGGAGTAGAAAGAGTCTGGTGTGTTAAGGGGAAATCAAAGCCTACGGGGTTTGATCTACCAAGCGCCACAGTATCCAGCAGTTCCCAGCCTCAGTTTGTGCCGGTGAATGACTGAGAAAACCAAACAAGAAGCAGCACAGTCTGTTTGCCAGTCACAAAAAGGCTCTATGTACAAAGATGGCTTTGATCTGCCTCATGTTTCTTGTTGCCCTTTCACAGAACCAGAGAAAAAGGCCAAGGCCAGCCTGGTTTTTGCGTGGTTGACTCACAGGGATCAGGACTTCTTTCCCTTGTACAGCCTCACTATTAACAAGATTTGACAGGGAGATTAAAGAATTTATCAGCAAACAGTTTTGGGCTGAAACAGGACGCCATGAAATGAAATAGATAAAGTTCTCAGCTCTAAAGACAGGGAAAGACAAGGACAACGTAGAGCAATGAAGAAAACCGCAGGAGCTTACCAAGAGCCAGAAGTACCACACATAGAGCGAGAAGCAGCTCAGCACTTGGACTATAGCTGTCAGCAGGATCACATCCTTGAGGTGCCTGAGGGAAGAAAAGCAAAACATTAACCTTCCATTCTAGCTCCCGAACACACCAGCATCTCTGCCTCCACAGCCCATCTGCACCGCCTCCAGGGAGCGACCCTGCCTGGCCCGACTGAAGGACTGTCCCTGCAGCTATGTTTTGCCACACGCGGTAATCTAGAAGCGTCAGAGCAGTAAACAGAAAAAATAAATAAATCTGATGAGTTAAAGAGCTAGGCTCCCTCTGAAAAGGGACATTGAGAAAGCTGAGGAATGCAGGGGGGTGGAAATCGGCAGCAAAACCACCACCCCCGCAGCCCGCAACAGCAGCCAGCACCCCCTGATTTGATACATACTGTGGCATAAAGTATAGCTGCTCACGGCTGGCTGCACTAAAGGGAACCATGAATCTTCTCTCTGCCATTTCACAGGCTGACAGACACACTCGGGGTCACCAAAGGGCTGGGGTGCTACAAGGACAAGCACACCATCACCCGCAAGCCGAGCTACAGCAACAGACGGCTTCAGCTCCCTCTCCCCTCCCGCTTATCCGACTCCTTCTTCCATGCCAGCCTCAGGCAGAGCTGAGAGCAGCTACAGAGGAGAACAAGCTGCCCACACCTCCACCACCACCTTGGGGGGGGGGGACCTGACACCCAAGAGAGGTAAACAGGTATTAGTTTTTCAACACAAGCCACAGGGAGTGCCATGATAGTTAGAAAAATGCCAGCTCCTTCGCTCCCATTAAATCATCATCTGCTGGAGTAAGAAACCCTCAAGTCACATCCAAGAATGAAGTCAAGAAAACAAAGGCAAAGGTAATGAAATAGCTCGTCTAGTTCTCAGCAGCACAGCACAAAGCAAGGTGATGTTAGGTATTCATCACCAGAAACAACTAGTTCAGGCTGGGACACTGTCATCAACTCGAGATGCTGCAGAATCCAGCAAAGGCTCTATGATGGGATGCTGAGGTTCAGAAATCTCATGCATCACCAGCGGCCCCAGAGGGGTCACAGCAGCGCTCCCACCAAACCCAGCTCTCCCAGGGACCAGCAAGCTCAGCTTTCCTCAACCCCAAAACAACACACAGCATCTGTTTCAGTTACAGACAGCACAAGGGAAACACCATCAAATCTGCAGCATTCCAGAAGCAGCTCCAGAACAGCACGTGTTAATCAGCTGTGGCATGCTCAGCTGAGAGGCAGGAAAACGTCCACTGCTTTCTGAAAGTAACCGTTAGCCTAGAGTGGTTCCCTGATCCCCAGAGAGGTAATTTAGAGCACTTCACCTGAGAAACAGAGGAGCACCAAGTATTTGTTAACACTTTGTGTTCACATATGAATGGCGTTAAACTAATGAAACTTGCACTCTTACAGCTGAGGGCTCTGCACAGGCTCAGGTACAAAGGTACAGGGTAAGGATGGGAACTTCAGCTGTGCAGGTTTTGCTTTTACAGCTCTGCCTTCAAGTTGCGCTGTGTTTTGCACAGCCTGTGCCTCAGACAAACATCAATTAATTTTGGTGTGTCATAAAACTCACCCCAAGGGTGTATTGCTGAGGCAAAAAAACCTCGGAGGCCCGGTACCAAGGGAAGTACTATGTCTGCAAGTGGGCTGCAGCGGCACTACAACTGCGCCTGACACCTTTTCACAGCAGGTAATGTGATCCTTCTGCTAACTCCTGTCAGTCATTTCCCCCTGAGAGCACCATCACACACGTGCATGGGGCAGTTACTGGGGCACCTGCTCTGCCTCGGTGCCTTACACATCTCCCAGAGGCATGTCCCACAACTAGGACGATACCTCAGATGACATCAAACTTCTGTATTTTCCTTACTCAACTGTCCCATGTTGTGTTTCACAAAAAAGGTTTCCAAAATATTTTATGCTTCTACTCAGGAGAGCCAGAACAGTGTAAAACGGGAGAAAAACCCTCGGCTCACCAGCAGGAAAAAGAAGTCACTATAGGATGAATAGGGTGTAAAGCACCTGGCTCACAAATCACACTAGAAATAATTTCCTCTCTTCCTGGCTACCTTGTCCCTCAGCTGAGTCTCTTACACTGCACACCTGAGTCACTCTGGCTGCAGGTAGCAAATTCACTACTCCACTAACAAACACACAAGATGAGAGCTCATCCTGTGCAGACAGCAGATTCTGTGCTGCACAAGTCAGTCTACTGGCTGATAACATCCCCGGGCATCTACTGGCTACAGAAATAAAATTTGTAACAAAAAATAAAAATATATAAATCAATACATGGCCCTTCCCACACAAGAATGCTTGACACAATGCAGAGGGCTCTGCCGGAAACAAAG